TCGTAGGGGGGGGGGGGGGGCGGCGAGAGGGTGCTTCTAGTAACAGTTCGTTCTAGTTCGAGATTATCGACGACACTCTATTTGTAACCCAACGGCCAAAGCCGTGCTCATATATTTTGGTGCTGCAGAGGAAATAAATCTGCAGTCTAGAATGCACCCAACCTGCCAAACTGTGCTAATTTGCAGAGGAGACATCATAACATCATAATCTCCAAGTTCAACCAGTTAATTCTCCAGCAAAAGAGATGAAGTTGAGCCGCAGAGCAAGAAAAAAGTTAAGACGGGAGATTAAGTTGACACGTGACGTTCCGAAGCCCGGCCCGTTATATTACGTAACTAACTTCACGATAACCACGCTATCGCCACGTGACTACCCCAGGTGTTCCTCCCGCCCGACTATTTCCGCTCTTTTCCCAGCTTTTCCACTGCTGCATGCGAGATACATCGAGCTTGCTCCAGAATGCGCGCAGACGCAAAGTATCACAGAAGGCGAAAAGGAGACCGGGCGGAGGAGAAGCAGCAGAAGAAGCAAAAACCGACGAGCTTCCCCTACAGCCGAAAGCAAGATGCACCGCTTGGCCGAGTTTCCCCGCTCTCCGCGGGCAGCATATAAAGCTCTCCTCTCAGTCCCGCGGTGGCCGGCGTGCTCCCCTTAGGAGATAGAGAGACGTACAAGAGGACAATCGGAACAGCAGAGACAACCAATTGATACATCTGTATAGCATCGTCGCCATGGCACAGCTCGCTACCTTCAAACCCCCCACGGTTCAGAATGAGCCAAACGTCTGTTGCAGCCCCTCTCCCATTTCGTGATCTATATAGCTTGACTGACAGCGGATATAGAAACACTACGCCAAGGGCTCTCCGGATAGAGAGCAGCTCGCCTGTGCCCTGGAGCAGTTCAAGAAGAGCGCTCCTCTCGAGGTTCCTGTCATGATTGGAGGGAAAGCTATCACCACATCTCCGATACAGACGCAGCAGAACCCATCTGACCACGCCGTCTGTGTTGCTAAATATCACACTGCTTCAGATGAAGACATCAAAGCAGCTATTGACAATGCTTTGGAAGCCAAGAAGAAGTGGGAGGCCATGCCGTTCTCGGACAGGGCTTCTATCTTCTTGAAGGCGGCTGATCTAGTCGGCACCAAGTACCGTTATGAAATGATGGCCGCCACCATGCTGGGCCAGGGGAAGAACGCATGGCAGGCAGAGATTGATGCTGCTGCTGAGCTGTGTGACTTTTTAAGGTATATCCTACTCTCTTTTTCCAAATTCTCTTGATTATATATATTTATATATATATATATATTGTATGTATTGACAAATTTTAGGTTCAACGTTCACTACGCATCTGAACTTTACGCTCAGCAGCCAGTTCACAACGCCCCCGGAGTCTGGAAGTAAGTATCCTTATTACCAGAACATTATGCAGATACACTCTCTAACAACATACTGCAGCCGTGTCGAATACCGACCCCTCGAAGGCTTTGTCTATGCCATTTCCCCGTTCAACTTCAGTGCTATCGGAGGCAACCTGCCCGCCGCCCCAGCTCTCATGGGCAACGTCGTGCTGTGGAAGCCCTCCCCCTTCGCCATTGCGTCCAACTACCTCATTTACAACATTCTCGCAGAAGCTGGCCTCCCAGCGGGTGTCATCCAGTTCGTCCCCGGAGACGCTGAGAGAATCACTAGCTTGGTTCTAGACAACAAGCACTTCTCCTCCCTACATTTCACCGGCAGCACAGCTGTCTTCCGTTCTCTCTATGGCAAGATCGCCCAGGGTGTAGCAGACGGTAAATACCGCAGCTATCCTCGCATTGTAGGCGAGACCGGAGGAAAGAACTTCCACCTTCTCCACCCCAGCGCAGACACGGACAATGCTGCTATCCATACGGTTCGTGGAGCATTCGAATTCCAGGGTCAGAAGTGTAGTGCTTGCTCAAGAGCCTATGTGCCACAGTCAAAATGGGAGTCATTCCGAAACAAACTCGTGGAAGAGACTGAGAAATTGAAGATCGGACCTCCCGAGGACTTCACTAATTTTATCGGACCCGTTATCCACGAAGCTTCATTCAAGAAATTGGCGAAGGTTATTGATGACGCGAAAAATGACAAGGAGCTCACACTCCTTGCTGGTGGCAAATACGATTGCTCAAAGGGATACTTCATTCACCCAACTATATACTCCACAACGAACCCGGAACATCACCTTCTCAACACCGAGCTCTTTGGGCCGGTGCTGGTTATTCTCGTGTACCCAGATGAGGCAGCCGATGCGTTTGAGAAGATTTGTGAAACAATTGATAACACCGGTGCCTATGGCTTGACTGGTGCTGTGTTCTCTCAGGACCGTGCGGCAGTTCATTATGCGGAGAATGCTCTTAGGGGTACTGCTGGAAACTTCTATATCAACTGTAAGTGTACTGGTGCTGTTGTTGGACAGCAGCCATTCGGAGGTGCCAGGGCATCTGGTACCAACGATAAGGCCGGTAGCGCGGCTTTGATGGGCAGATTTGTGAGTATGAGGTCCATCAAGGAGGAGTTTGTACCTGTTCAAAGTGTTCTGTATCCCAGCAATGAGTAGGCAGCGGTGAACGGTTATTGAGTTACTAGATGACGCGATGGAATATGACAAGTTAATTAATTATAATACTACACTATGCCCGTATGACCGTGCTTCTATGTTAAATGTCTTTGTCAATCAGAACTTGAAAGACAAAGGTACTTATGAAATGTTGTCAAGAATCGGAGTTTCATTCGCTCTCTTTTATCTTCGATCAGGATATAAGAAGCATGCCCAGTATCTACCTAGGCAAAGAGAAGGTAAGGTGAATGAAGATCTTGAGGAATTAAAAGGGAAATGTTTTTTTATAATTGTTTCTCCGAAAACAAAAGAAAAAGGAGCAAAATTAAAAAAATATTGGGTTGTAGAGGGGATATCAAACAGCCAATTGATCATGTTTTGTTATCACTCAGTGACTAATACCGACTTGCCTCAAAACGAACACGCTGGTTGGGGAATTATTAAGCAGACAAGAGAACAGAGGGTGGGAGCATAAGCACGCGCTGGAGTCCGATTGGACGCAAGGCTCGCACTTAGTGGATGTGACACATCTGCTGTGCGGAGAGAAAGGGGTACGGCTTAAAAGGGAATGCAAGTGGGTGGACAAGAGAGGCGTGAGAGCCTAAAATATACCGGCACATTGCATTTACTCTTCGCCCTCGAGCTGCTCGTCCTCAAGACTGCAAGAAGAAAATTGGTTAGCGTAAGGTAGGACAGATATTATGTAGATAGGTAGGTGCTTACTATTCCTCCTCACCGTCAGAGACGGAGGCATCCTGGTACTGCTGGTATTCGCTGACCAAGTCATTCATGTTGTTCTCGGCCTCAGTGAACTCCATCTCGTCCATACCCTCACCAGTGTACCAGAACAAGAAAGCCTTCTTGCGGAACATAGCAGTGAATTGGTCACCGACACGCTTGAAGAGCTCCTGAATGGAGGTGGAGTTACCGACGAAAGTAGAGGACATCTGGAGACCACGTGGAGGAATAGAGCAAAGAGCGGTCTGGACGTTGTTGGGAATCCATTCGACGAAGTAGGCGGAGTTCTTGTTCTGGATGTTGCGCATTTGGTCCTCAACCTCCTTCATGGAGACCTTACCACGGCTATTCGGGTGTTAGTAAAAGAAGCCAAGCATGAAATTAATAAATTAGGGTACCTACAAGATGGCAGAGCAGGTAAGGTAGCGGCCGCTGCGGAAGTCAGTGGCGGCCATCATGTTCTTGGGATCGAACATCTGCTGGGTCAATTCCGGCACGGAGACGGCACGGAAAGAGTAGGCGTTGCGGCTGGTAAGGGGAGCAAATCCAACCATGAAAAAGTGGAGACGAGGGAATGGAACCATGTTGACGGCCAACTTGCGGAGGTCAGAGTTGAGCTGACCTGGGAAACGAAGACTGGTGCTGACACCGGACATGACGGCGGAGACGAGGTGGTTGAGATCACCGTAGGATGGGTTAGTGAGCTTGAGGGTTCTCATGCAGATGTTGTACAAGGCCTACAAGCAGTTAGAAATACCGAACCCTGGCCAATTAAAGGGAGCTAGAGAAAATATACCTCGTTGTCGATACAGAAGGTCTCGTCGGAGTGCTCAACGAGCTGGTGGATGGAGAGAGTGGCGTTGTATGGCTCGACAACGGTGTCAGAGACCATTGGGGATGGGACAACGGAGAAAGTGGCCATCATACGGTCTGGGAACTCTTCACGGATCTTGGAGATCAGGAGGGTACCCATACCGGCACCGGTACCACCACCAAGGGAGTGGGTGATCTGGAAGCCCTGGAGGCAGTCGCAGCCTTCGGCCTCACGACGGACAACATCGATGACCTGGTCGACCAAGTTGGCACCCTCAGTGTAGTGACCCTTGGCCCAGTTGTTTCCGGCACCAGACTGACCGAAGACGACGTTGTCAGGGCGGAAAAGCTGACCGAAAGGACCGGCACGGACAGCATCGAGAGCGGCGGGCTCAAGATCAACAAGAACCGCACGGGGAACGTATTTTTTGCTTGAGGCCTTTGCCTCCAATGAGTTAGTATGCTGCTGAAGGGAAGGGTCTTGGTCGTGCACACCTCGTTGAAGTAGACATTCATGCGCTCCAATTGGAGGTCAGAAGATCCGGTGTAGCTAAAGAAATCGCAGTTGTCAACATTCAAGTCCCTCGAGACTCGGGACTTTGCCTCCCCTGCAGAATCACTCACTGGCCGGATCCATCGAGACCGTGCTCACCGGCAATGGTTTGCCTGTAAATCAAGTCAGTAACAATTCGACACGAGATATACAATTACGATGCAACGCGTGAATGCTTACCAGAAAGCAGCACCAATTTGGTTGCCCTATTGCCGAACAATTGTTAACTCAAACGGGTACCTGACAACGAACCAGGGAACGATCAAAGCTTACACATTGGCCGGTTTGGAGATGGACCTATACGATAAATGCACGTTAGCCTGAAGCTCGACGCTCGCTATGCGAGAATTGTGAAACTCGGAGCCTGTTCCATTCACGCTGGGACATGGTCGTGTGGTGGCCCTCTCGCCTGCCCCCCTTTCTTGGCCTGTGCAGACCGTGTCGTGTTTTTCGGGCACAAATAGAGGGGAAGTGATGGACAGGGGGAAGCTAGACTTACGATTTCACGCATGTTGGCGAGAGTAACGGACGGTTGAGGGTGGAGTGGACGGAGTGAAGTGTTCGGGGGTCGGGTCGAGGACTGTTGCTCTATGTTTGTTGTGTGAAGTTGAGGAGTCGAGAAGTTGAAGTCGAAGAAAGGAGAAGAAAGTCGGGCGTGGTGGGCGGTGAACAAAGGAGGTAGCTCGATCGGGACTAGCGTTGTTTACTGCCGTTTAGCGCTAAGGGGTTGCTTAGTAATTGCTTATATAAACGTGAAGATGCCGAGCGAGCAGCGAAATAGCAGGAGAAATACTAATAATAATAATAATACAGAACCAAGGGCTAGCTATCCTATGCCTACAAGTGATATAGAAACCGAAAAAAAAAAAAAAAAAAAAGGAGATTGTTTGAGGGGCGACACGCTTAGCTGTCGGCTGTCTTCTTGGTGGCCTCCTTCTCCTGCTCGAGCCAGGCACCAAACTTATCCAGTCGCTGAGCTTCGTCGTCTTTGCCGGCCTCAGCCTCCCAGCCGGCCCCGTCATCCTGTAGGGCAGCAGCTGCACTGGCGCCCGACTTCTTAAACCGGACTTTACCCTCAACTACGTATGCTTCGACCTGGGTGCCGCCAAAGAAGCGGCCGTTCATCATCTGGCCATTATTGTTAGCTCGGCTCTCTATGTCCGTAAAATCATGCTGGTACTCAAGCCATACCTGCACACAAGCCTGGGCACACTCGGGGTCGGAGAAGCGGACTGTGGCAATTCCTGATTCTTCTTTGTCGTAGAGCACCACGTTGGTCACTTCACCCAGCTTTGAGCATTCCTCGCGTATGTCTTCTTTAATGTCGAGAATGGCGGCTGGATCCTCCTGTGAGACAAAGCCGGAAGTTAAAAAAAACATGCTGATGCACTGAATAGAACGGATTGGGGGGTTTACCTCCAACTCTTGCAGTGTAAACATATGTTTCAACACCACAACCTTCCCTGCCTTTCCTGAATGTCTAGGCCCAACATCATCATCATCCCAGTCGGTGAGTTTACTATAGGCCCAGGTTAACCAAACTACTATCAACCTCTCCGACTGGACGGCTGCATACTTGTTCAATTTCTGGGTCTTGCGTATGATTTTCATCTTATCCCTCATGTTCGCCTTTGCTGGGGCTTCCTGCACAGCCTTAAAGGAGAAGTCTGCCGGCTGCACCCTCATGTTACCCTCCGCGCCCTTCTCGCCAAACCGGAAATCGGTATCGTCTAGCATCTGAATAGCGAGGTTGACGGATTCGGGACGAAAATATACGACGAGTGCATCGCCTTTAAACGCGTCCTGTTCGTCTGTATACATCTTTATGCGTGGCTTTCCGCTGTCGATTTCCTCTGCGATAACGCCGCATTTGCTGAAGAGAGAGCTGACCTCAGATACAGTGGCATCGAGAGGGATGGCAGTTACGTATACGGCTGTATTAACACGCGGTTTCTTGGGTTTCTGGGCGGTAGTTGATTCCTAGAATCTTGTTAGATCTTGAGCCCCCGGAGGCAAAAACGAAAAGAAGCTAAGGGTATACCGACATCATTATGTTTCCGCTTCTTCTTTTTCTCCTGGAGGGTCTTGAGATTCGCAGGCTCCTCCTCGTCGACCCCCTGCATCTTGTATGCCTGTCTCTGTTGTTCCATCAAGGACTCGTCCAGCTGTATCTCCGGTCAAGACAATGAGTTAGGATGCCCCACGGATAGAGTCACCATCGTGGCCTCTTTCTTGTTTCAATGTCACTAAGCCATGAGCATGCCTACCGAGGGTATCCATCTCTTCAGAGCGTCATCATAAGTGTATTCCTCGCCATTGTCTGTTTCCAGTATGTACTTGTTGTCAAGCTTCGAGAAGGAGACTCGCGGGTCCGAGTCGAACTCGTCGGGCTGAGGGAAAGTAGACGGCGGTTTCTCGCTGTCAGACATCGTGGCGGCTCATAGAACTCCAGCAGGATCACGGATGTTATGTTTGTTTCGTCTGTCTCCGGTTGCTTCCAAGTCGACCTCCAGCAAGTCACGAAAAGCCCCGAAGTTGCTTTGGGGAAGCACGAGCCACACCTTAAAGGTCATGTGGTAAGCGTAATACTGTATTGAACACGAGATATCGCGCGAGTAACCCTGGTATTTATGTAATTACAATACGCACTCGCCTTCAGGTTTTCCACCCTTTTCCCCAATTTGGATATTCTCGACTTCATCTCATCAACTTGCGCTGTTCGACTCTTTTCGACGCCAGCCTGTGATTTTTGATATTCAGCATTGATATCAGGACATGGTGTCGCAAAAACTTGACCTGTGGCATGTCAGATCGCATTTTGACCTGTCAGTTCACTTGTGCCAACTAAGCTCGGTGTGGCCAAACGGCTCCTCCACCCGCTTGTCTGCTACTCGCTAACCTGTCTGCAGCTTCAATATCCCTCGCTGACCCCAGTACGCACTCTGCAAGCTTATTTGCGTAAACAGACAACCAGCACCGCCACCTGGAGCGACTAGCAGGGGACACAGGGTCACTAGACATTTGCAAAGAGGGCCGCTAGTACTGAGGTGCAAGGTCTAGTAACAATAAAGGGACCAGGGGGAACCGCTAGTGTTAATTATACCAAAGGAGCACAGCTCAAGGTCAAGCCCCAAACCTCAAGCCTCAGGCTGCCCAACCCGCTCTCCGGCCAGCGACGCCCGAAGGGACAAGACCTTCTCTCATAATGGAAAGGGAGAGCCCTGCTACCCGCGATCGAGAACGGGATCATAGCAACGGCGATTATTTTTACACCCGCCATCATCCTGTTGGATACTCGCTTGCCACTGCTTCTCACACCGGCGACAACGAGCACGAGGAAGCCATTCCCGGCCTAGGCCAGAAAGGTAAGATTGCAGTCCAGCTTCTAGCTCCTCTTTGTTCCTTCGTTTCTCGTTTCTTCCCCCCCCGTTGTAAAGAGCAGAAAGGGGGAAAAAGTCACAAACTCAATCTCAGCGTCTTCCCAAGTAGGTCCCGGTACACCCAGCGTCGGATCCAATATCAATCTCATCAGACCATCACCGTCGCCGCACCTGACTCTTACGCCGGCAGTGTCTCCATCCTCGTATCCCTCATGGCCCGGCAGTGCCGCTGCCAGCAATTCTATCGGAGGTAGCAGCAGCAACGGTAGTGGTGGTACGGAAGCAGCCACAGCATCAACCATAGGAAGTACAAGCACAATGGGTGAGAGGGAAACCAACAGCAATCTTATACGCCCACAACGGCCTTTGGGGCCAGCCAGAACACCGTCAAACACCTATGCTCCTCCACGACGGCCCAACCAGTTTATTACCGCACACTCAACCAGCCAGTTGCCGCTTTCTTCCAAGAGAACACCCCGCAGAGAACGTGACCGCGATCCCAACGCGCAGTACCAGGCCCAGGAGAAAGCGTATGTACAGAGGGTACGGCAAGGACCACCGAGCGAGTGGTTTGGCACCGATAACCAGATGTCGTCTTCGACTGCCTCGGCGGCCCTAGATCTAGAGTCCGATGTTGGCGAAGAGTCACCCTCCTCCGAGGCTCAGTTTGACCCAGATACCTTTGACCCGGATCTACGCCTCGGACTCGAAGAAGATGATCTCCAGCCCACGCTCGAGGAATTGCGGGATCCCAGAGCACGGGAAAGACTAGAGTGGCATTCTATGCTAGCCTCCGTACTCAAAGGAGATGTTGTAAGGCAGGAGAAACAACGTCTTATTGGTACAATGGAGCAGAAGAGCAAGGAAGTACTAGGTGGTGAGATATGGCTGGGCGTCAAAGCTCGTACTCTTGCGCGGCCTATCGCAACTCAGGCTAGAATCATTGAGGAGGAAAGGAAGAATATTGGCCCAATGCTAGAAGAGATTATCAACTTCAAAATCAAAGGTCAGGCGGAGATCGGGAAACCCCCGCAACAACAGGTTGAAGATATTGTCGAAAAGATTGAAAACGTGGAAAGTCTGTATGCCTCCCGCAGACAGCTCGAGCTCGCAAACCCCCGTGCTGCTTCCGAGGAGTACTACGAGTCTTATAATGCCATTCTCTCATGGCACAATACCACCAAGCTTATCAACACACAACTTTCCATCCTCCAAAAATGGGTAGGCAATGATGAACTTGACTTTACAAAACCATTGGTCAAGACTTCTTACGCATCAGAACTCTCTGATGAGGGATCGTTCCTCGACCGAGTCATGAAGGAAGATGGTCTGAAGACCCTACAAGGCGGTGATCAGATGCTTGATGGTGTCGGTAAAGTCATCAAAAAGGCGAAAAATACAATGATTGAAAACTCCGACGCGTTCTTGCAACGCCATCTACCTCCTTACATCGAAGAATTGCTCACCCTAATCAACTTCCCTTCTCGTCTTATTCAAGAAGTCACCCGCGTCCGCCTCTCATACGCCAAAAAGATGAAAGATCCAGGCCAACAGTCCCCCATTCTCCTTGATCAGATGATTGTCCAATTTCAGATATTGATGAAAGTCGCTACTGAAATCAAATATCGTTACATGGTCATCTCACGCCCTGAGCCAGGTTGGGATCTTCCGCCTTGCGTTGATGAAAACTTCGATATGGTCGTTCTAGACGCGTTAAAATACTACTTCAAATTGCTGAACTGGAAATTGAGTGCAAACAAGAATACCTTCAAGGAAGCAGAAATTCTGGAGCAGGAGTGGGATTTCTCAAACCAGATCGGACGACAGCTTGATGGCGGTGATATCGAGGTTGCCGAGCAGTTTAGCACTCTAACCGCCAAAGCCTTACAGCGGTTGATGCTACATTTTGAGCGTGAACTCCTATCTAAACCACAAGAAGAAGCCTCTGACAATGAGAAACGATACAAGACCATCCTTGATTCCGTTCGGGTACGACAGCGAAAACTCTTCAGGTTCTCACGTTTCCTTCGCCAGCGTTTCGAGAATGCCACCGAGTTCAATCTTCGTAACGATCACGTCGAGACTTTTACTCAAGCACTTTTGGCATCTGGTCATTTCCTCGTTGTTTCTACCAACACTGTTGGCCAGAAAGGTGTATGTCTGATTGCATCACCGTCCCTATACGACCGTAAAAAGGACATTCAAGCCATCCTCGGCACTTCATTCCGCGGTGATGATGTCACTGACAATCTCTCTTACCCTTATATCCTTGTCATCCGGCCAGACAAACCTTTCCAATGGTCTGGAAAACGGTTCGAGGTTGACTTCCTTGAACATCCTACTGATGTCCGGATGGGAAAACTCCGTTTAGTTGCCGATGGATCTCAGGAACGACTTCAAAATGCCCGTCTGGCACTGTCTAGGCTAACAGGCTTGGAATTCGACGTGACTATCGAACAACGTGCGAACCTAGGACGTGTTAACGTAGAGCTGAACAAGATAAAGAAAACGGCGTTTAAATTGTCCAATACTATCATTGATAGTGTGGAGATTATCAGAAGCCAAAGCACGGACAGACAAAATCTCGAACTTATCCAGTCATGCTTTGCCTTTGCTACCGAATTCGGCAAGAGATCACTGATGTACATGGACCCCAACCGCAGGTCTATGAACCAAGGAAAACTAATCAAACTGGGCCTGGATTGGATATCTTTCATATGCGATGACTGTGATGCCGCGGATCGAAAGACATTCAAATGGGCTGTGTCCGCCCTCGAGTTTGCTATGATAATCACCCATGGCCATGCCATCGTTTCTTTGAACGACCAAGAGTATGATCTACTTCGTGTTAAAGTTGCTGGCTGCATGGCGTTATTAATTTCCCATTTCGATATCATGGGCGCCAGATCAACATTGGCTGCCAAGGCGGAAAAGCAACACTCGGATGCTGCTGGGAACTACCGGAATTTGGATTGCAGTGACATTACTAGTGATGAGGTGGCGTTGGCACAGGTACAAGCCCAAAGATTACTGCACTTATCAGACATTGAGGCCTTCCGGGCGGAAGAAGATGCCAAACGACAGCCACTAGGAAAGGTGCTGGAAGGCGTCAATGAGGCCGACCGTTCGCTTAGGGTACTTTCTTCATCGGCTACAAACATCAACTTACGTTGGCAGCAAGGCCAGTTCATTGGTGGCGGAACTTCAGGATCTGTCTATGCCGCGATCGACCTGGATACAAGTTACCTGATGGCTGTCAAGGAGATCCGCCTCCAAGAGCCATCTGTCATTCCAGGTGCAGCTCAACAAATTAGAGATGAGATGGGTGTCCTTGAAGTCCTAGACCACCCCAACATTGTCTCTTATCACGGTATTGAAGTTCATCGTGACAAAGTATATATATTCATGGAGTACTGCTCTGGCGGCTCACTTGCTACCTTACTTGAGCATGGCCGTATCGAGGATGAGATGGTCATCATGGTCTACGCCCTTCAGATGCTCGAGGGTCTAGCCTACCTTCATCAGGCTGGCATCGTCCACCGCGATATCAAACCCGCTAATATCCTGCTTGACCACAATGGAGTCATTAAATACGTTGATTTCGGCGCAGCCATGGTCATTGCTAGACAAGGTAAAACTCTCGCAGCGATGGACCACTACAAGGATCCCGCAGCTGCAAACAAAGATCAGCGCAAAAATCAAAAATCTGTCATCGGTACACCCATGTACATGTCGCCCGAACTTGTTCGAGGAGAATCAAGTAACCGCTCCTCCCGCCATGGATCAATGGATATCTGGTCCCTCGGATGTGTCATTCTTGAAATGGCCACTGGCATGCGCCCATGGGCTGGCATTGACAACGAATGGGCGATAATGTACAAGATCGCCCAGGGAAATCAGCCCCATCTCCCTAGTAAAGGCGAACTGTCCGAACTAGGCATTGACTTCATTAAACAATGCTTTGAACCAGACCCGGCCAAGCGGCCTAGTGCTGCAGAGCTGTTGCAGCATGAATGGATCGTTTGTATCAGGAGGCAGGTTGTTGCAGAGCCGCAAACGCCTAGCAGCGACGGAAGCGCCTTTACACCCAATCCTGGCAACACACGGCAAAACTCAAGCCAATTTTGAAATTATATAACCTGCCAGATACCTTAAAAAAACATAAATGTTTCCATTGATCTGAGTATGACCACAGGCACTGCATGATGTTATCTCTCTTCTCCCTTTCTAACATTTGACCGTTGAAACTACCGCTTTTACTCTCCTTCTCCGGCCGCTTTCTCTCTTCCCTTATATATGCTTTCCATTCTATATATTCTTCGGTCACAAGCACTTCCCTGCTTCTCAACGCCAGCTTTCTTCGTTTCTCCCATTTTATTCCCGGCGTTGGAATGAGATACCTGATTTCTTCAATGGATACCTATGATGACAAAACCAGTCCTAATTAACACTTCATTATTCTTGTGATTCCCCCCAACGTTACCGCCTCTAACACTTTTTCAATCTGTCTAACTGTTTCACGGCGTCATGTATGTTTATTGCCGACAAATACTTGGACGTCCTTTCTGGAGAGAATGTAGTGTCAGATTTATTATATAGCATATAATTGTGCCGGTGTTTGTGAAATCTCATTGCATTAAATACTACGGAATGTAGTTGGTATATATTTCCATGTCACACGCAGGGGACAGGAAGCCCGTTGAAAGATTGAGGGTTAAAGCATGAATAGTTATCCCCAGCGCCATAAGTCAGAATCGAGGTATTAAAACATGGCGTAAAGTCTTCTACCATGCCAAGCATCAGTCAGTATATAACTAACCACTCGAATAGTGAGATGCACTGGTTTTCTATTAGGAACACACATACCCTAGCGTATCATTATCATCATCTTAGACGCGACATCCCCTAAGGCACTGACAACCAAACGGATTGCACGCTGTAATATCAGTTGCTTAGCGACTAAACATTTCCATATGGGGCATAGTGAAGTTGGAGTCGTGTTTACCTCCTATTCCGCAATCTGGATTTGGCTCGCTTCCGTCTAGACATCTCTAAACATGAGGTAAGTATCTGACCAGAGCATTTATATACGCAGTAACTGAGGCTAGCGTTATAGCCAGTAAGGGGCTTACTCCGTCGTATTCTGGATGGCAGCAGTCCACAAGCATAGATGAATCAATTCTATTATTACCACCAAGGCTGGGCCTAATGGGCCGTTGTCTGACTGCCAGCACAAGGGCGAAAAACAGAGACAAAATCGTAAGTATTTGAAAACCTGACTTCATGATTGTGAGTATAGGGGTGGTAACGGGAAAGTAAGTGTCTCTATAAAGCTGAAAAATTGATGTGGTGATGAAAATATATATCTGGGGGACAGTAGGTTCTTAAATAATCGAAAGACGCTCCTGAAGATATACACCCCGTGCCCCCTTTTGACGCCCAGGTTATTGTAGACGAAAAACAAAAGGAGGCAAGAAAAAAGGTCAAGAGATTAACGGTATGACAATCATATATTCTAGCCCATGGAAGGCAAGAAACAGTACGAAGACTAGCTCTTTTAAAGTTGAACGATTTGCCAACTTTTGACAGCACTGCAATTGAGTGTACTCCGTAGCAGGTTTTGGGCTGCGTGAAGTGATGCTACGCAATAGTTAACTGATTGGTATCGTCTAGATATGTATCATCCAAGGTGGCAAATAATAATGACCTGTATCCTTTGTTTCCGAGCCACTGGCGCAATATCACTTGCCGGAACAGTTGGAACAGTTGGAAACAAGGGAAACGGGCATATTAGGGGTAATTGATGATATCCGTAGCACAGAACATGGCTAGCTGGTTTATATGCAACTGGGCAGGGTCGTCCAGTTATATATCCAGCTTACCCAGTATGCACGGTTTCCTGCATGGCACCGGCCATCCCGTTGAACAGAGACGAAAAATGGAGTTCAATCATCGATTTAGCGAGAATGATCGCCACGAACATGCCCTAGCGGTTCGCCCAATTGTTTCCGAACCGGCTTGTTAGTTGGACTTGAGATCCAAGATTTCCCAGCTACTCCGAACATCGTTATTTAACAGAATAAGCACGAAATTACTCTGTGCTCCCTCAGATAGTTAGCTTGGTATAACTATAACAATAGGGGAGATATCTCTGCGACTAGAGTTTATGATATGAGCACTCCGCTGGTTTGTTGCCTTTGGCTGTGGCTTTGCTTGTGCAATATCGGAAAGGGAAGCAGTGTGAGCAGGGTAATATTAGTAGGGATACGGAGTATTGTAAATCTCGAATTATTGGTCATGATTCTTTTATCCCTCCAATGAAAAAAATTGGGTAGCGTTAAAAGAAACAAGTTAATGTTTAATATTTTAAGGTTAGCGATTTAACCATAAAACTCTATTTCCAACTAGTTAACCTAGTTAAGTGGGTCAGAAGTGTTTCTTCCCCCTTTCCCATCCGTGCGAAGCGCTCGAGCATATAATTTTAGCAGTTAGCAGCCTCTGGTCGCTTTTCCATTTGTCGCGATAGTGGGATCTGGGACCCGGTAAGCAGTATGAAAGCTCCTCTCCTGCCAGTTTCTCGCTCAGCCGCCACAATCTTTCTGTGTCAAAAAAGGTTCGTCACCCACGACTTACCTTGACCGTATCGACCATGGGATCTGCCACATGGCAGTCAAGCAGATACGCCCCGTTATTAGCTGTTTGAATATCAGGCCAAATATTCGCATTTTCAACCGAGTGCGAGAGTTGTCGGCGTTACAGACTGTTAGTACCAAGCAGGATAGTCCGGCTGCTGCGGTGGGATGGATGAATACTGCTCCAAGGGAGTTTGGGGAGACATTGGTCATCAGCATGGCCTTAACTTTGATAAATCTAGTTATTGTACGGAGGAGTTCAGGATGAGTTCGTTGACCGCGGTGTTGATTTTTATGGAGCGGGCATCCCGGTAATGTAACTGCTGGATATTTGGTATAGCTGAGACTTATAGATTAATTTTTACATCTACAACTTACTTATGAACCTCAATAGCTTTGTCAGGTCTCAGAGTAGAAGCCGTGCGAAGATGGTTACGGAGCAGTGATTCCTATGCTGGAGGGCTGTATGCATGGCACGACCTCTCCGATTGTCTGGTCTTCTTCCACCGTGGTAATTTGCGATATTTACATCTTCCGGACATACACAGAAGTACCCCTAGCTTCAGTTTGCCTTCGTAGCTGTCTTTCAGAGATCATATTTGTCCTTAGTCCGGAATGGACGAGATGATACACGGATAACAGTAGGCCTGTAGATAATGCCATGCCAGAGTTAACAATGTCGAGCCTGGCGTCAGCCTGGCCTTACTCATGGAACAGAGTATGCCGTCGAGTCAAGCGAGCACTAAAATGAGGAAAAAGAGTATGCGGAACTCTGCGGGTATATAGTAAATTTACGTAGCTTCAATGAACACTAGGAAAGGAGACAGTATGGTAGAGGACTTTGCAAGGCTCCCAAACGGAGGTCAAAATAAGGCTGTCTCATATATGTCACCAAATTATAACGAGAATCAAGTATATATATATATATATATATATATGCTATGTACGAAGAAGCGTATGTCAGAGAGATTAATTACGTAGATGTTTCCTCCTTCGACTTCTCCTCATCCACCTTTTCCTCTACAATTCCCCATTGTACCCTCAGCCGCTCTACCCATTCATGAACAGGTATGATTTCGCTTCCAACCCGAATGGACCCCTTGGGCACCTGCCTTGCAGTATCTGCGTCACAGCAGGGAACAAATACGAAGCTGTGATTCCGTCCACACAGTCTCATGTCCTTGCCGTTGTTTTTCATCTCATTATAACAGTCGTTGCAAAACTGTACATCCAAGCAGTCTTTGCATGCATGAAATTCACTCGCCCAAGTCCATTCACGTCCACAGTTGCCGTCGCAAGACAATTCGATGGGCCCGGATAAATCCTCGTCCTCCTCGTCATCATCTTCTCCCTCCTCCGCATCAACTTCCTCTGTTTGATTCCTGCCTTCTTGCCCTTCATTTTCATCCGTTGATTCCTTGCCCTCTTCAGTATCACCGTTTTGAACTTCCGCTTCAGCCACCTTGATCTCTGCTACTCCTGCTACCACTGTCACATCAATTTCTTCGACTTCGATCTCGGTAATTTCTGCAGATTTGACAGTTTCCGCACCCTCACTCGTTAGGCTTGTAAGTATGGGAATTTCTTCCTTTGCATCAATACCTGCTTGGTCTTTGCAGTCACCGTTCGCAATATTTCCCTCTTCCGAAGAGTCTTCTGTTCCGTCCACTTTGTCTTCCGCTTCTTCTTCTCCTCTCACCTCCTCTTCTTTCACCTCCTCTTCTTTCACCTCCTCTTCTTTCACCTCCTCTTCTTTCACCTCCTCTTCTTTCACCTCCTCTTCTTTCACCTCCTCTTCTTCCGCCTCTTCTTCCATTTCTTCTGTATGGACAAATGGTCCAAGCGCAGACCAGGCAGCGAGAGTATTAATATCATCATCAATGTGTGCTACAGATGTCAGCCTCAAGTAAGCATCCCAGTCATTGCTATCATCATCATCACAAAGCAGGTCTAATGCCACTTTGACGTGTCCCCTCAAAGTATCCATTGCTTTCTCTTTTTGACCCATTAGATGCTGTAGTCGGGCGATCGCGAATTGTAGGTTTTGGCAAGTGAAGAAAGTTGTTCCATCTTTCGCATCAGGGCGCAAGTCCATCAATTTCTTCAAATACTCCTCGGCAGCCGGTGTGTCGACTCCAGCATCGAGAGCTTGATGAAGATATACCTCTCCCAGTTTTTCAGTAGTCGCCTCTAGGATATCAGCCTCGCTCATAAGATAAATCTTACGGGCGGATTTGTTAACGATATGTGCCCATATTTTGATGGCTTCCGCCTTGTCTGCATCAGTCCTTGGATACTGGTATAACAAGTTGGCGAGGAAGTAGTTGAGCCATGAGGTAACGTATGGGATCACTCCAACTACGCTTTCTGGGGCTAAGGCTTCGTACATAGAATCACGGACAACATCCATGCTGGAGGAGTGAAATCCAGCCGTGTTCAATCTTGTGAAGTATTCACCCTTGTTTGCGTATTGATGATGCATTGCTGTGAGACGGTTTTGGCCTTTGCTGTTTTTCTTGCCTTGCAAATCTTGAAGTGTTTCAATGATGGCTGTGTATTTCTCCTGTTTTTCAAGCAACTCTAAAGTCCAATATATGGGCGCATACTGGTCCATGTCATGCTCATGAATTTCTTGGAAAGCGGCGGTGGCTTTATCGTATTCCTTGATGTCAGTATTCCATACTCCATAGGACGCAAGAACTCCAAGATAAAACTTTTCTTCGTATTCGATCCTTAATGCTTCCTCATTTCTGAATCTTTCCATCACAGGCATTATTAGTTCCAGAGATGCTTTTGTATCATCCATTTCCCAGCATGATTCAGCTTGGATATAAGAGGCACGCCAATTTGAAGCGTCCAGATTGCGAGATGCAATACACCTATCAATAGATTCCTGGTAAAATCCAAAGTTTTGCAGGGTAATTCCCATCTGTGCTTCCCAGAGTGTGTCGGGAGTGTCCATGTCTAGTTCAGACTTTGCCCATTTTTCCACATCGTATATTTGCTCCAATGTAGGGGAAACATCTGATGTAACCCGCTTACCTTCCCCTTTACGTGCTTTGATCTATCGACATAAAAGCATTAGCATATGGTAAAGAGCCCACTACAGGATGAGATGCAAACCTTAGTTACATATCCGAGTAGCCACCAGAAAAAATTGCGAGTCTCCCACTTCAGGGTCTGTAGCCATTGCTTTGCAATGTACTTTGCAGTATGGCAAAGAAGATCATCATTTGGGTTGGCGTTCGAGATTAGCCCATTTACCCATTCCTTCATTTCAGCTGATAGGTTCCTGGTAACGGCGGAATCTTTGAACCATTTAAGCATCGTATTAACATGTTTGTCCTCATACGACCACCAACTTCGTTGGAACATTCGGTCCTCAATCCACCATTTTTTCATGTACGTCTCGTCAGTAAAGTGCTTGATAAGGTATGTACCAATCTCGGTTTTCGGCTCAGGCTGCGTGAGCGCAAGGTCAACCGCTTCCAAGCACTCCTGGAAGGAGTAGAAATGTGCGTTCCTCAGGGCCTTCAACTCTTCATCCCTATCACTTGCGACGGACTTCATACCCACAAGTATGACGTAAATTTTAAGAGTCTCCACGTTCACACGGATTGAAGCAGATTTGGAACCTAACTTAGACTTGAAGAATTCTTCGAAGCCGAATTTTTCAAACAGCTCCTTGTCACAGACGCTGTTAAGAAACCTCCTCACAATTGCTACCTCGGCTGGATGTAGCTCGGTCTTTGCAATCGCTTCGTTGGTTTCTTTTTTGGTCTGCTTATTGAAAAATTCGCGAATAGCCTTGGAACGAAGTATAACAGAGTCATACTCTGCTATCTCGAGCAGAGAAGAATACTTAGTTCGGACCTGCTCCTCCAGTGGCATAAGAGACGCCTCGCCGTTCTTGATCAAAAGAACTCCTTCGAGGGTTGTTAGAAATGGCGCACGTTTTGCGCCCATTATCCAGCTGAGTATTGCCACAAGATCCTGAATGTCTTCATATCCGAGAGTATGGTTGAGACGGTCAATCTCACGAGCTATTGTGGCCTCTCGATCCTCACCAGCGTGCTCCAGTACCTCCTGAATCTCCTTCTTCCTCCTCTTCTTACTGATTTCGGTCAGGAGATAATTCAACTGGAAGTAGTCACCCTGGGTAGCTTTGCCAAGGCCTGTTTTGATTAGATCCCTAAGCTCTATAATCTCTGGTTTCTCCTTATTTTTGAGAATTTCCATGTTGTCCATCCGCATTTCAATATACTTTTCAATGTCCTCTTTGTTTCGAATACCCAGCTCGATAGTGGATAGAGAAACCCCAGGCGCTGTCTCAGCTTCAGAGAAAATGGTCGGCCTGCCAGTAATGAATAACCTTACAGTCATCATACTCTTTTCATTTGCCATGGCAGATATGTCACGGAAGACCTCAACCAGGGGCTTCCCAATTTCACTGTCGAGCTCCTCTATACCATCGAGGACAATGTAGAAAACAGCATTGGTCTTTGGAGAGAAATTTACCACAAGTTGTTTCCAAAGTTCCAACGAATCGCCAAATTCTTCTGGTTTATCACAAGCAGAAGCCACATTCTTCTGATAGACCGCATCGTTCTGTGTCAGCTGCCAAATAATCGATCTGAGTGCAATGTTCACTGATTTTTCCGTAGAGTTAAAGGTTGTTCCCCCAAAGAAGTAGTATGCGACGGACATCCTTTCATCCTGGTTCCCTGGTGGGTAGAGCCGGTACAGATGCCTGATCGCTGCAGATGATAAATAACTCTTTCCATACCCTTCCTTAGCCTTGAGACCAAATATTGGGGGCGACTTGGTATTAGGGTCTGCCCAGGCAGAAAATTGGGGATCGTTCAGAAGCCACTGGCCGGTTCCTGGGACTATGTTGCTCACATAATCTTCCTGGTATGACCTCCACACTTCTTTGTCGATTTTCAAAGCAGCTTTAATTTTGTCTCGTCGCTGTTTAGATTGCCCTTCCTGATCCCTACGTCTTTCAGCAAGGTCATGTTTTTCTAAAAGGGTGGAGACACTATCCATGTGTCCATCAAGAGTGTCCAGCTTTGAGTCGACTGTATCAATAGATGATTTGACATCCGAAAATCCAGCTGTGATCTTCCCTTCGCTAATCTTGGCGGATTCCAGAATCAGAGCAATGCTCATTTTAGTTTCATTCTGCACCAGATTTTCCAGCTTGCTAAGTTCTGCGGAAACACCTTTATCGCTTCCAAAACTGAATACCTCAAGTGCCAAAAGGACCTTGGAATGTTTTGATATTTTGATAGACAGGGCACAGATGCGTACAAAGCTACGCAACAAATCATGGATAATCCGCCTAAGGTGAGGGTCAATTTTGACTCCGACGACCTTAGATCTTGCATATATTTGGAATCGGTCTAAAAATGTTGATATGCGCTCAAAAAGTTCCGAGAGCCCATCAAAAATTTTGGAATACTTTTGGGAAGCCGTTATTAACATGGAAACAGCGCTGAAGCAAAGGTTTGAAGGTCCGAAAAACTACAGACACATATTAATATGAAGCGTATACTGAAATACAGTTACGGAGTATAAGCTTTGACTTACATTCGAGGCAACAGAGGCAGCAAAGGACCCAAGCGTCTGAATACAAACAAGTGTTTTATCCACAGCATGTTTAACCCTTGCGTATCTTGCGCTGGTTTTTGCATCCGCCTCTTTTTTCTGCTGGAGATTCGCGAGAACATCTTCGACAGTGAGCTGTTTCAAATCCTTGGTGCTGTTTCCGCTCAAGTTCTGGAATTCGATCTCAGTCTCCCTCCACATCTGATCGATGTCGACATCATCGGCAGGCTCAGGTCCAGACATAATGAAGAGTCTCTCGTTGATTTCAGTGGATGAAAAAGGTGCAATACAGGCAGGAGACTTATAACATAGACTCCATGGAGGACGGTGTCAGTGTATCAAGAGAGAACAGAAATCGACGTGGTAGATCCACCCCAGCCCCCCTGGGGTCAGCCGGCTTTTTAAAGCTGTCAACATCACCACTCAGCTTGTTCGTTGTTTTTTCCTGAAGGATGATTAGGGTTCGTTCTGGCCTGTTCAATTTCAGCCTCGCTATGGGGTCCGGGTAGGAGATGTCCGAACCCTGTCGAACTAGCAATGGACTCGCATATAGCCTAGCGAAGAACGAGGCTGTGAGACGGGAACATACATGCTTCTGATTGAAAGAAGTTGTGCCTTGCGAGGATGCGAGGGGGGTGCCGTATATCTCCATAGCTTACTCCGTAATTAGCGTTGACATTTTGCGGCGTAAAAATAAGAAAATAGACAAGCCGGGAAAAATTACTGGTACCGCGTATTCGGGCCGGTATTATATACCACAGTGATGCCTTTTCATCCAATCAGCCCACAGATCCATCGCGGCTCGTTGAAATACTATATTTTATAGTACTCCGTGCGGAGTAGACATGTGGATGTACAAGTATCCTGTGCTTCCCAAGTGAATCAATTTGAACGATATAAGTTGGGAAGTAGAACCTGGAACCATTCCCAGAATGAAATGAATCGAAGAGGTTTTCCACAACTAGCCACAGTCCACTGTTAGCTGGTGATAATTGTGTGTCTCTTTAAGGGCTGCATACGCTCCTGCTGGTTAACGATTGTGTAGTTAACCATCTCTACTGATGATGTTTAGACGGAAGTCGTTAGATTCGTTTCTTGGGGAATTGAAATCTCAGCATCTGCAATATAGTTATATTGTTTCTGTGTGAACGTTGTATGCTTGAGTGTTATACTTTATTAATTCGAGAAGGACAATTGTTAAGGATGTGCCCATGCAGCGTACTCTGGTTTGCCATAACATCAGCATCACTCTGACTTACGGTATAACTTATCACTATCTCTGCATAATCATTCAATGATAAAGGAGCGTGGATGGTATCTTCATGCTTAGCGAAGCTGTCCAAATCTGTGCTCTTGTAATGCAGGATTTGGATGTTATTGGTATGATCCCCTTCATAATAGCGTTTCCCAGATAAATTGGACGAGAACCTTGCCAATTTCACTTCAGTTTTGCACTCCCGTAGATCTCTAGAACTGCATAAGTACAGCTCTTAAGTCTACCGATCAGTGGTTCAGGCTTAGGGAAACACTCCATATTGAATTTAGGATATATACATGTCGAGACCCCTGCGGCCCAGAAGAAAAACAGAGCGGGGTCTCTGGGCCCTGAAGAGTCATCTGGTTAGCCTGGCTAAGCGTAAGCCTTTCCATTGCTTCCTCAATATATGCCATAGAGTGTTGAAATCGAGGGCATAGATACCAAAAACGAACGGAAGGATAACTACCCTCTAGTTACCGCGTAAAATTTCCGGGTTTATGAGGCTAACCCTTTGCTTATAGGAGCGATACGTCCATATCACCACCTGTCGTCCAGATGTCCCCGGCGGACATCAAGCCCCTTCGGAATAAATCGCATCTTCATCCTGGCTTAACTAGAATGGACAAATAAACTCAAGCTCCAGAATTAGTTAACTTCAAAACCGGTCGAGATGGAAGGATATCCAATACCACCATTCCGATCATGGCTCTCCAAGAGAAAGATTCGCTCCCTCAGAAATTTGCCGCAAGAGCTCTGCTAAGCGACCTGGAACGAGAAAACAGTTGGACTCAGCGGGAGCACCGCATCCACGAAGGTGCACAAACGGCATTTTGGACAAAAGGAGGAGAATGTTTAGTCTGCCAAGTGGGCGTGTCCAAATGAACGAGCTTTGTGGCTGTGGAAGACATTGAGGCCGTCAGCAGAGATTGATGCTCAACCGAAGTAGTAGACATGCATCTTACTGCAGAAGTAAACTATAACTAGTTGTAGGCTTCCCTGGCCGTGGCCTCGGAGTTAATTGCCCAGCCAGGCAAACAGCTGCAGCGGGATGACATCACAGCAGCCAGCAGCCTTTGCCACAGAAGGCCATGCAAGCTTTGATATACAATGGACAGACGGGTCGATCAGATGGTGATCAGTCTAGATACGGGGTGTGTACTTCCATAGTGACTGCTGTAAGGGGCTGTTGCGGAGCGTTTCTCGAGTTATCTCTGTTGGCATGCTAGAGTGACCATGCCTCAGTACTTCAAAAACGACCTCTGTCTGGTCCCCATCGACAAGGTGTCACTGCAGAACACGCTCACTGAGCTCAGAGAGGCCATCGTGCGTGCGTTTGCGTTGCTTAAGGCGAATAGTCCTGCTCCAGATATAAACGATACCAAGGCATTCGGCTCTCTGTACACTGGCGACAATGGTAAGCACAACCCCATACGGCCAATATCATACTTAGTTAAGCAACTGGCTGAGCATCGGTCTGTCAAACCAAAGGAATCGCGGTTATGGCTACTCGCATTGCTATTTAAGCTAAATATCTTGGTGGCAACAAAGCAGAAACTGATGCGTTGATTTCTAGCGCTTACAGCCTGGCCAAAGAGCGTCTCAGTCCGCATCTAGTTGAGATACACCCGCACCATGGCCAGGTATCGCCAACCGGATCCGTTCACCTCGGCGCCGCATTTGCTCGTACCTTTGCTGCCGCTGCAAATATGACTTCTCGAAACGGAGGTGTTTGTAGGATTCATTCACGGGACGTGGCCTGTGTCTGTGAGGCCTTTGATCATGCATGCGATGAAAGCTACGGCCTGGGATACGACGATGCTCTGAGTGGAAGGGCCGGACTCCTGAGGGCTGTCTTAGCATTCCGTCATTTCCGTCTTGATAGGGAGACTGCAGCATCTTACGAGCTAGTGTTCAAGAGTGTGCCGCTTTTGGTGGATTGTATAATAGAGGCGGGTAAAATTGGAGCGGAGATGTTCGTAGAAGAGCATGGAGAGAGTGAGGCTCTTCCCCTGATGTGGCCATGTCGGGGCAAATATTATGTAGGAAGGTAAGTCTCCCGTGCGGCTTGCTCAGCCAAATCTCATATCAGAACACTAACATATGACGCTGCATAATTCTAGCTGTCACGGAATTTGTAGGTACCCACTCCATGAAATCTGCCCATGGTTCATAACGTGCTCACCATAGATATAGGCGGTATCCTTGCCATTCTTCTTGAATGCAAGCTTGAAGAATTAGGGGATGGAGCCCCTGAGAGTAATCACCTCCCTATAATTGGGAAGACAATCACACAGCTTTGCAAACTGACCATTGCGAACGAAGGCCACCTTCCTTCGTCGTTGCCACATAATCCCCTAGCACGACGGTCCCCTCTGGTCCAGATCTGTCACGGTGCCCCCGGGTTCCTAGTCCTTTTAGCTCGCGCACGAGGCATTGCACGTCTGGCGAGCCTGGAGTGGGAACCATGTTGGGATCATGCAATATACCTCGCTAGCCAGCGGGTTTGGGAGCAAGGCCTCATCTTCAAAGGGGGTGGCTTATGCCATGGCATTGCAGGAAACGCATGGCCTTTCCTAATGCTCCACAACTTATTTGAATATGGGCCTCAGGGCTCGAGGGCCGATAGGATCGCGTTCAGCGAAAAATTGGCTCGGACACCACCGCCCCCCCAAAAGTACTCTGCCGACCAATACCTCTCGCGAGCACTGGCTTTCCTTCTGCATGTCAGAAAGACACAGCCATTCAATACCCATACGTACGAAGAGAGCATCCAATATCGTATGCCGGACCACCCTTATAGCCTCTACGAGGGGCTCTCCGGCACAATGGTCGCTTGGGCAGAGGCATGCGTGGTGATTGTAGCTCGCCTGCGGAAGATGGAAGTGGACGAGATTGTGGGACATGGTGCCTATCATACTGATGGAGCTTTCTGTCGAGATTTGCGCCATGTGCTGGGAATTCCCGGCATCGCAGTTCAGGGATATATTTAACTTGTTTTGGTTTTACCTTTGATTGCTTCTTATTTGCATGCGAGAGAGCAGGTAGTATTAATGAATGGGGTTGGCCGAATATTATGCACATAACATCAGGGGAAAAGCCGTCAGGATCAAGGCATTGCTTTTATTGGGGGTATTCTTGCTATTTAGCGTCTAATGATGTACAACAATAACATAACGGATGAAGGTTGTGAGCATTACCAAACGAGTCTCTCTAGTAGTTCAACATGATTGTTTCACATTACAATCAAATTCTATGTCAAGAGTCAACATAAATCAAAAGTCTTCGTCGTCATCCTTGCCCAACAAAGCTGCATAGTCTTCAACAGACGCAAACGTAGGCAGGTGCTTGAGTTTTCGTCTCTTTTCTCTCTTCGGCTGATCAGACTTCTTTGTGTCTTTCGCCTCAGTGACTTCATCATCCAAATCTGACGGTAGCTCCTGGTCACTGTCGAGGAATGCTTCCTCGTCTGATTGATCAAAATTGAACACCTCCTCGTCAATATCGACAGAATTATCCATTCCAGCCTCCGAAACTGCTTCCTCATCATCCTCCTCCTCCGAGCTTTCGTCATTGATGATAACATCATCGTCAATCTCACGATCCTCCTCATCCATGTCTTCATCCATGCCGTCTAGATCAGCACGATCACTATCTTCCATAGCGGAATCAAAACCCTCCATGTCCATGTCGTCGTCACTAACGCCTTCACCATCGAGCTCAGGCTGTGACTGTACCAAAGCTTTCCAAACTTCGGACTCTTCGTCACTCTCCCCTTCTTCGTCATCCTTGGCAGCTTTTTTCTTGGATTTCTGGCGCATTTTGTCTTTACCAAGTCGGTTAAAGTAATCATGGAAGAAAACGTCTTCAGCAGAAACCTCGTCGCTTCGTTTTCTCCAGAACGACTCGCTGTTGACTGGTTGCTGAGTCGTATTGCGCCCAGATGTTACCAGGAGACCACTAGAATCCCCGCCAGCAAGAGGTTGCATAATGGAAGATCCGCGAAGGCTAGGCGCAACTTTGGGAGATTTATAAACGAAACGATCCAGAAAATGGGTGAGAGTATGAATCGTGAGATCTGGCTTTCCAGACATTTTCTCATGTAGGAGCAGCTGTTTAGCACTGACAGCTACCGAGGGGTGGTAATGTGATAGATATGGAAGCTAAAAAAGAAAACGATTGTTAGTGTCTTCGAGCCAATAGTTATTAAGAAACTGCATCAAGAGCTACGAACCAACTCCCACAGACAGCTTCGATCAGCGTTGCTTTGCTCTGGGTCTCTCTTTCGAGGATCATAACGAGTTACCGATGGCTGCTTTTCAGGTTCTTCCTTGTCTACCATCTCATCTTCTTCATCTGGAACGTCCCTGAAGACTTCTTCCTCGTCATCATCCTCGGCATCTTCTGGTTGATCCACCATAGCTGTCAGAGATGGGAAAGTTGCTTCCAATTTTTGGATCAGATACAAGACTCCACAACTAAAAGATGGGTTGTGCACGCCTAATATCTGTACTAGACGCTTGATAAACGCTTTAATTCGTTTAATGTTAATGTCCGTGTTCAGGGCCTTGTATAGCAGGTTGAGGTACATCGACTGTTTGGATGATGTAGCCACCCGAGGATCCAGTAATGATTCATAGAGCGTTTTATAAAAGCGATCCGCTGACACTGCATGAGATGAAGAGAGCTGTTGAATAAGCATAAGAGCCTGAATGCTAGTGTTAAAGTTAGAAGAATTCGTAATACGGAAAAGGGTATCCAGATGTTTAGAAAGCCTGAGAGTAAATTAAAGTTAGCTTGCAACATTGGAACGGGTTTGAATAAGGATCAACATACAATTCATAGCTTGACGTAGTAAAGGGATAAGCGCGGTTAACGCCAACCAAAACTGCTGAAATAAGTTTCTCCCGAAGCTCATCCTCTTGAGCCTCCCCTTTGGCATCTTCATAGTCTTCTTTACCCTTTTTACCCTTCTTAGAGTGCTTTCCCTTCTTTTTAAGTATCTTTTGGGCATGAACGTCCTTCTTGGGCTTTAGGAGAGCAACAAAAAGGGGGAAATAGATATCAAGAAGTTGAGATGCAACTTTATCATCACTCTTGCTCAAGATAGTTTGGTTTAGAGTGATAACTCCGTAATACTTTGCATGTTGGCTCTGGCCAGGGCGAAACAATGACTCCGACTCTATCGAAGAGACAATAGTTCCCTTCATGAGTGGATGAGCTTGTTCGAGTTGAAGGAGAAGATACGACGCTCGTGAGGCAATCTTCTTGCTTGGGTCGCCTAACTTGTTCACAAGAAGGCGTAGCAAGTTTGATTCCTGTTCCGGTTTCTCCTTTAGAAGTTCGTAAACGTAACTCAGAGCTCTGGACCGTGAAAACTCGATTTCATCATTGCACCAAACTTCAAGAACCTTCAATACCTCGAAGTATTGGTCTTTGAGGAAATCTTCAAATGCCCACATAATCAAATGGCTTTTCTCGATTTGATTCGGAAGCTTATCGCCGATGTCCCAATGGCCTCCTGCCTCCGATAGTGCAGCAGTCAAGGCAGGTTGATTAACGAAATGTTTCAGTCTTCGATCACTGGGAAGTAGAGTGCCTTGTGCAAACAGATCTTTCAGCGATCGCAACACTTCTACCGCTTGGGCTCTGCTCCGCTTTTTGGCCAAACCAACCAAATTTTCCAATGCCTGTGTATTGTGAAGAGGCGATTCTTGTACCGAAAGGGTCAAAGCCGATATTTTGTCACTTAGAGTACCTGAAGAGACAATTGTCGAGTAAAACTTGTAGCTTGAGGATTTAGAGTCCCTATTCGACGTGTATGCTTTATTTTCGGCTTCCAACAATGTCATAGCATATTCACGCATGCGCTCCAGCACTGAACGAGATACATTTACGTGGTGACCGGAATCATAGGATATTTCTGGAAGCAGAGTAGCATACCAATCGGAACGCTCAGGGATAACCTATTCACGATGTGAGTTAGTATAAACTACCTTCACCAAAGGGGAATATTTTACTTACAAGATTCGAAGAGGATGGACCTTTCTTGAGAATTTTAGAGTCTTGTGTTAAAGTTGAGGGCAGAGAATCATTTCTCTGGGTCTTTTTACTCTCCGTCTTCTTCTCTAAAGCATTATTCCCCTTAGATTTCTTCTCTTGTGCCGGTTTTTCAGTTCTGTTTTCCTCGGACTGCTTCCCCTCCTGCTTCCGTTCCTGCTTCGTTTTAGCGGGCTTCGTCTCCTGCATAGGGAGGTCTGGAACTTCAGGGAGCTCATTCCCGCCATTGATAAGTCTACCAAGGTCCCTTCGAAGCTTCTCCAAATCGCCGCTGGAAACCTCCTTGTCCTCCATCTCTGAGTCCGATTCAACACCAGCTACCAGGTCAAGATCCTCCTTCGTCCCACCAATTGCATATACCTCCTCTTCCAGGTTCTTCCCGACATCATGCTGCCCCCCCGCCGTTGAGTATGGCTTTTCGGAAACTTCAGATTTTATAATTTTCCCACTCCGGTCCCGTTTCTTTCCCGCTTTATCGGTAGGCTTAACGTCTGCAAGTAGCTCTCGTTTTTTGACAGGTTTCTCGGTGGGCTTGGTCTCGGTGGCTTGGTTCCGTTCCTTGCGCTTTTCATTCCTTTCCGATTTCTGCTTCTTTTCAGCTTTCGACGGACTTCCATTTGCGCCTTCGTCGCCCTTTAGCTTCTGTTCAATTCGTTTGGTAAGACTAGCTACCATAGCATCAGAAAAGCTTGGTGTTGCGTCCGCATCACTGCTCGGCCGCTTCTTTTCAGCGGCAGCGCCATCCTTGGCTTTGAGCGACTCAACCTCTTTTCCTTTCCCCTTTGCCATGTTGTAAAAATACCTGGTTGGCCCCGAGATAAGAAATCTGAGCCTTCGGGAGTTTGTTCTAGAAAAATAATAATTGGAAAAAAAGGGCAATTTTTTATATCGGATAAATGGTTCACCCGGAGGAAGCTCGCGGCCGGGGGCCGATCAGATAAGGCAAGGGGGAAAGTTCAAAAAAGTCGAACCTCGTCCTCGCATCTAGCTATATACATCGAGGCAACTTCAACATCCATCTAGGATTATCAATTCCCTCTTGTCAACAGCTAATTTGGTTTAATGTCATGTTTCTTCAGGCCGGCCTTAAGCGTGGCCCAAAGTCGCTTCATTGGCGACCAGTATTGAACATACCTTATGCAGGCCAAGTTCAAAGCCTCCGAAGATACCATGTATGTGATATACCTCCTAAATTATAATACTATTCTAACATATTTTGCAGGATGACACGAGGAATAGAGCCTCTAGTTTCTGGATTCCCTCTGGCGGAATAGCAGAATCTAAGAATGGAGGTAAGTAAAACTACTTCCTTTTTAGGAGTTGTTTGACACTAATTCCTGTATAGTGGACTCTAACGACCTTCTTATTAGGGCTGGATTCCTAAGACAGGTGCGTTACATAGCTTTGAGTATAGCGAGTTTCAAGCTGATATCGCATAGCCCTACTCAGGGGTATTTCACCTTCTTCCACTTGGCCTCCGAGTCCAAGAGAAATTAGAGAGGCTTATTGATAAGCATATGCGCAAACTCAGTAAGTAGCTCCTCTTCAAGCCAGTGAATCTACGACTAATATGCTCTTATAGACGCTTCAAAGCTGTCATTATCATCCTTATCTTCTCAGGCTCTATGGAAGAAGTCGGGGAGACTCCATGACGACGATTCTGAGGTATGCGGTTGATTCATGTTTTTGCGTGTATAGTTTGATAATAACTTTTAAAATAGGTATTTCGATTTGTGGATAGAAAGAAGACTCCGTTCCTTCTTGCCCCAACTCATGAAGAAGAGATTACTACTGTTGTATCTGGGCTGATCAAATCATACCGAGATCTACCGCTACGTGTATATCAAATTTGTAAGACTATTCTTTAATACACAAATTCTACATCAAGGCGCTAACAATAGATTCTAGCGAGAAAATACCGTGATGAACCAAGACCGCGGCATGGCCTCTTGCGTGGTAGAGAATTCGTCATGAAGGATCTCTACACTTTTGACTCTACTGAAGCAGAGGCAATTAAGACCTATAATACAGTGAAAGAAGCCTATATTAGTCTCTTCAAGGAATTAAAGTTGCCATATGTTGTTGCCTCGGCTTCATCGGGCAACATGGGAGGCAATTTAAGTCACGAGTTTCATTTTCCCAGTCCGAAGGGAGAAGATACTATAGTCAGCTGCTCTAAGTGTGAATATGTCTTCAATGAGGAGTTAGCCAGCGGGAAAACCTCTTGCAAACGAACTGAACACATGCCAAATTTAAACTCCTCAACTGACGGGCTAGGCCACCAAGAGGCAGCAGCCATTTCAACAGGCCAGTGGTCGGCAATCTCTAAAGACAGGAAAGTCTTGGTGAGGGCATTTTACCCCAAATTCCTTATCGCTGACGGGCAGTCAGAGCCTGTTCAGCGGGAAGTGAACCAACATTCTCTGAAATCAGTGGCTTCTGCCTATGGGATTGATATTGACATAGGTGTCAAGGACGCCCTTGCTACGTGGAAAGCTGAAATCCAGAACCAACCTCAGACGACCAAACAAAATATACGTGTCCTGGATATCTATGATTTCAGGGTCCGTGTCTATGATCGGCCGCCAATTCAGGACCTTCTACATGGGATGTCTAGCAACAACCTTGACATTCAATCCTCACTGCTTGACCGCTTCCCTGGAACGAATGACGGTCTGGATCTACTCCGAGCCAGATCAGGAGATGAATGCCCCAATTGCGGAAGCCCTACTCTCAAAACAGACCAGTCCATTGAGCTTGCGCACACTTTTCACCTGGGTACACGATATAGCGAGGTGCTACAAGCCAATGTATCCATAAACCCTGCCATCCTAGCTGGAGCAGGACAAAAAGGGAAGCAGGAACCAGTTCCAATACAAATGGGCTGTCATGGTATTGGGGTGTCGCGAATGATATCGGCGGTATCGGATATCCTAGCAGATGAAAAGGGCCTTAACTGGCCGCAAGCCATTGCTCCCTTCCAGGTGGCTGTTGTACCTGGGAAGGGTCTGGAGAAAGAAGGCGAGCTGGTATACGACATCGTTACTCAGACAACCCAGCAGCCGATTGACACGATATTGGATGATAGAAAGAAAGACTTCGCCTGGAAGTTGAGAGATGCGGACATGATTGGATATCCCATCATTCTGGCAGTTGGAAAGAATTCATGGGGAGCGGGCAACAAGGTGGAAGTCCAGTGTCGACGACTAGGAAATCTCCGAACTAAAGTTTCCTTGGAGGAAGTTCCTGAACTTGTTTCATCCTTGCTTAGCCAACTATAGCATTGTCCAGCTCTTCTTCTGGCGGCTCATGGTTTTTATGGAGTATGTTTGTATAATACTGTATGTACTAGCATTGGCGTTCTGGAGGTATTGTGTACAACTATGGGATAGAACCGGTATTAAAGAAATTTTTATTCTATATTCAAGATCTCAAGCTGTTATTCCGTAAAGTATTATAATTATTTTACCTTACTTCCATCACGACAGGCTGAATCCTTGGAATTGATTAAATATAACAAAACTTACGTTCGTGTTCGACCATAAATCTCCCACACGTCACTTCCCGCTAGTTCACTAACTAGCTAACAAACACATTCAACAATTCCTAAACTCCAACACAACAATAACTACCAATCAATACAATCGTTTTTATATTTGAATACAGGGTTGAGAATTGAAATGGCTTCTTCGCAGAAAACCTCTGCCGCCGCTCCTGGCGCAGGTTCGTCACTACAACCCCGCACTCAGGTCCTTTCGCTGATAATTCAGCCCGTCCCAGCACGAGATGGCAGATACATTTAAATATCCTGCATGCTAACCAGCAAACGCAATAGTTGACGTTGCTACATTATCCGTACCTCAGCTTCGCTCTCTCCAGTCCCGCCTAAGCTCCGAGCTCGAACATCTCACATCATCACATACGAAACTACGATCCGCGCAATCGAAGTTCAGAGAATGCATCCGTTCTATAAACGATGGTATTCTCGCGAAGCCAGAAAAGGATGGACAGGAGAGTGATATATTAGTGCCGTTGACCAACTCGTTATATGTCAAAGGGAAGCTATCGGATAGAGAAAAGGTGATCGTAGACGTCGGGACTGGGTTCTATGTCGAAAAGGTACGGCACTCCTGTTTTGTCTCGACCCATCTCATCTCAATTGGCGGATATGGAGGCAAGGATGGGGATTCACAGTGCTAACGGATCGCTGTGATAGACACCAGCCAAAGCTATAGAATTTTACAATGGGAAAGTGGGAGAGTTGGGAACAAACTTGCGTGAGCTAGAGAAGATTGTGGCCGGCAAGAGCACGAATCTAAGAGTCGTTGAAGAAGGTATTGTTCAATATGCGATGCCCTGTGGCCCTCTAACTTGGGTAATTACCTACTAACAAGAATGATGCAGTGTTGCGCCAAAAACTTCTCGCTGGCGAAGGCAATGTGGCGCAGGCAGGGCCTAGCGGAGTCGCACAAGCTTGAATAAACCGAAGATGTCCATATCCGAAATTGACAGCAGTCTCCGGAGTGTATGGCGGACAAGGCTAAGCATAGCCGGTTCTATTGCAGAGGCCAGAGTGCAGGGGATAAGGTAGCGACATTGTTGGAGTGAAGACTCGGTTGAACCTTCTAAGTCCCCGTGGAATCTTCGGTTCAGACCTGTGAGAGAGGTATCAGCAGTTGTTTGGATTAAAAATATAGGTCACTTGGTCTGTCATGGCATTAGGCATACAAAAAAGGAATTCATGATCTCTCTCCCTTTTTTTCCTTATTTATTTCTCAATTCGCTCTCTTTGACACATGCTAGAACAACTTTTAATGATTGATGGCCAAATTGAAGATATGCCTGAGATTTTTATCTCCTATGCTCCCTAGCTACTAAAATACCGTTATTATCCCATAGAGTGTGATTGAACTAAGCTCATATAATTGAATGAGTTCTGGAGGTTGAGCTATCGGAGCTGCCTTCCTCTACTGCCTCCTGCCTCTGCTGTTCTGCAGCTTGACCCTTAGAATCAGCCTCACCCTTTTGTCCGAGTAGTGTCGACACTTGTTCGATAAGAGGCATAAAGGAGTTAAATCCACTTCGTAGATCAGATGGGTCAGCGTCTCCAAAACAAGGGAAGAAAGTGTTTAGACTAGGACTCCATTCTGCATTGTGCCCGACTCCGAAATTTGCATGCTGGCCCAGCATATTATCCCATTGAAGGTCGAAAATAGATGCACCCCAAGACGTTATGGGTACTGGTGACATGTTATTCGAACTTGGCCCTTGTAAAAGAATCTGAGAGGCTGTCAATTGAGCACGCGAATATTCATCGTATCGGGCGAGTTCAAAAATGTAATTTGTTCCCTTAAGCCGGTAGCGTAGCGCTGACTTCTCGACAATCCGGGCGACTGGTGCAAGATTTGAGAAAGATACTCGTTGTTTCCCGGGACCACTCAAATCAGGCATTTTCTCGGGGTGGAAATGTACAGAATGAGAGAACTCTCTTAGAGACTGTTCAATTGTCGAAGGCTCCTGAAATTCAAGGGATTTGATTTCTAATTGCCAGTCTGATCTATGGAGATAGTTAGTACAAATAAGTACAATGGGTTTGTAGGCTCAAAAGAAGAAAATACCTTTCAAAGTCAATAACGGCAACTTGGAGAAGGGGCCGTGTATCTCCAACACTATCATCACCTTGTGGCCGGATCCAACGCTTCTGGTAAACCTCAAAGTGATTTGTAGAAGGGGACTTTGCAAATTCAACTTCCAGCCTCAGGAGGGAGCTGTTGCCCTGGAACTCGAAGATAACAGCATACAATGGTTCCGGTTGCGTTTGAGAATCCATAGCAGGCCCGTTTAAGGGGGCTAGAATATGAGCGGCAGAGCTGCACTTGGCCAAGAGGCTGGTATCCCCACCAGTATATTTGAGTCTAACAGATTGTTAGTAGCTATCGCATCGATCAAACTTAGAGAGCAGGGAATGTTACCCTTGCACTAGATGTCCTCTAGTCCTGGAATTAAGCAACATTGTTCTGAACTCATCAAAAGAATATCGAGCTCTTGAGTTCTTGGGTTCCCTATAGTCATCAAGTATGAATGTTCCAAAGTTGACCCGCATACGCACATGGCCGCGGAGAAATCGAAGTCCCTGTAGTGATTCTTCAACAGTCTCACGGAGGCAGCTGTCGTTAGTGTTGAGAGAATCTTCATCTCGGTCTTGCATAGAGTCTGGATCCATTGATGTCAGAGGTATCTCATGTAGCACTGGTGTGGCATACATCTGCCCTAATCCTCCTACAGAATGGGCTACTCGAGCTATTGCAACCTCTTTGTTTCGAATGTTTGACGAAGCTGCCTGCACAAGGTAAAGTTTCGACTGCATATGAATCTTTGCCATGATTTCGGCCCATTTAGCCCGAAGTCTGTGCACAGCTGTTATTATGGTGTCATGATCGTCACCATCGACTCTTATAAAGGATGGCTGTTCATCGTAGATGTAAATGTAGCAACCAGTCTCCCGGCGAATAGGGTCGAGTGCTTCTAACTGAGGACCTAATAGATCAAATGGTACCTCGTCCGTTGGCCATAAAAAGAGCAGCTATTTGCAAGATATTAGTGTAAGAGCGCAAATATATTGAGATGGGGAATAACGCACAGTTTCCAAGAATTCAAAAGCCGGGCTTGGTCTCTGGCGAAGCAGCTCGATAACAGTACTGGATTTGTCAATTTGGTCAAGGCGTGCCTCCTTGACTTGGGAGTAACTGGAAATTTTAGCAAAAATTCCCTTTTTCTTCTTCGAGGGCCCAATGTCGGAGCAGCGGTTGAGTAAGCGCATAAGGGCGCTCTTCGCAGCCGCTACTTGAGCTGGACTTCCCCAGATATGCAGCCACTAGAATAATGCACATTAGTCAAGGCAAACAATGACAGGTAACCTACTCATACTTGTTCAGACTGTTTCTTTGGATGCGGAATAAATGCGCCCGTGTCATAGTTGATCTTGTCGAACAAAAAGTCATTGACGCTCCCACAGTTCGGCCCTAGTGCTTTGATATACTCCCCCACCCTAGATTATTTCATTAGTACAGAAGATCAGACAGAACTAATTACTAGTCACTACTAACCTCTCTTTAAGTACTCCAAACGACATAGGGAGCCGATATGAACCTACTATCGAGGTTAACCCATTGTTCGACGTTGATCTCTCGGGAATTCTCACCTGATGACGCGGCACCAGATGCCCATGCGTTTTTATTCACAGACACATATGTAGGAGGTTTAGGATAGCGCGCACCAGAAGTGCTGGTGTTAGTAGATGTGGTAAGGGGCGTTGGATCCAGTAATTGTGGCACTGCACTCGGGCCAATGGTGTCGTCCTGCAACGGTCCTCTATTAGCACCGCGATGGAGTTGGAATATCTAGTTTAACTACTCACTCGCTCAGCTTTGGGCCCTGCAGGGATTTCAGGGGTGAGTGTTTGCTCGCAGTCGTAAAATACGTCCTCACCCTGTACATCTTCTGGCTGTTCTTCTTCGAGGCACCATTCTAAAAACGTTGTCAATCGATTTAGTTCACCTGACAAGGCAATGTTTCTGCAGACCTCTTGCACCCGAGATTTCGTGGCTATCAAACTATCAGCAAGAGCACATTGACTATAGTGTTATAGTCCAATATAATACTTACTCCATTGTTTGGTATTGCTTTTCAAGTGTTCCGCTCTCAGTAGTCTGAGTATCTGCAGATAAAAGAGCTTTGTGGCAGTGGACGCGGTTGTTTCTTTCCAAGGTAAAATGAGTGTGTGGTTAAAATGTGGAAGTGGCAGGTGAAGAAAGATGAAGTTCGGCGTAGCGAGTCTTCACTCCTGCTTGCCGCCAACCACGTCAAGTGAATGTCCAAGGCATAAGAACAACACGGAACAAAAATTTCATTTAAAGCCACTAATAAATGCACTTAAGCGTGAGACCTTTGGTTTGCAGCTGATACCATTGGATAAGAAGAACGGATATGCATGGAAGAAACAACATGCAGGCGCCCGTCCTGGCTATCCTGGCTATCCTGCCATCCCAGAGTTGATATCAATAAATTTCTACAAGCGCATCTACTCCCCAGTAATAGCTGCAGCTGATTTCTTCAACATATCCTTGAAACGTAGTTTCAAGAACCATAGATTGAATATTCACTTCCATTTTAACAGCATGTTAAAACGGTGATTCTCCAGTGTCAAGGGTCCACCGTGTCTTACAGCGTGATAACCGGCTGAAACCCACGATATCAAAGTGACAGCTAGCATAATGCACACTTTTCACTTGCTCGAATAATTATATTATCCAGGATCGGATAAAGCATGTAGGACATGGATGTTAGGTAGTCGGGTTTTTGGTCTGAGGTTGGATGTTTATAAAAACAAAAATCAATAAAAAGAGTGAAAGCCGCCAAAATCAATGCAGGAATTATCATTGGTTGTTTATCAATCAATTAAGAGTTTCAAGGCTATGATTGGCGTAAAAGGCTTACTAATTTACCAGTTAAATACGGGAATCAAACAATATCTCGTAGTCCTCATGCACTGGTGGGCTGTGGGTTGACTAGAGCAATCAGTGTCGGATACTCCGTGGGTACCATTGCAGGAGGGATGTTTATTGCGATATCCTATAATTTCTCCATAGTCAGATGTTGCTCCTATGATTTCTCTGTTCTCAGTTTTCAAAATTCACAACTTCCAGCCTTTCTCGAGGTGCGCAGTTTCCCCATAGAAGCACCGCACCTATGTCACGGGTAGCCATCCATTAGTTATAGAAAAAGCAAACCATATCACTTTCTAGTTTCTAAAAATCGACATATGAACTATATCAATTAATGGTGTAGAGTAATAATAATAATGAACCTCAGCGACCTCAGGCCGCGCCCGGCCGCAGCCTAGAGCGGAACAAATATAATCCGTCACATCGACCAATCAGGAAATTGGCGATTGACTTCATCCTGCACCGAAGCTGTTTCCAAAGCGCAGAGACGCCCGGGCAGCTTCAAGACCGCCAGCTTCCACCTGCGAATAGCCATTGAGCCAGCAAGATGTCCGGCGCACGAAGACCTCAGTGTGTGCCCCCGCAATCGCCCACCATTTTGCCCGATAACCCGCTGCTGACGACTGTGTGTACAGATTCAACCAAGAGTCCATCACGGACAACACGCCTTTGCCAGACCACATTCCTAAGGTGGAGGAGATCGGAGCCACCTCGGCACCGCTGTTGAGTGCTTCATATTTTATTGGAGACCGATGCAGAGCGTTTAACGATGATTATATGAAGTGTAAGGCCGAGGCGGGAGGTCGAGGAGAGGTGGAGTGTTTGAGGGAAGGCCGTAAAGTCACTCGTTGTGCTGCAAGCGTGTACGTTCCATTCTTGGAGATAATGTTTTCGGAAAGATGGATTTTGGGGTCATTTTGCAGGATACTGACGTGCCGGATACAGAATAAAAGACATCAACACCCACTGCATGCAGCAGTTTAAGGCACACTGGGAGTGTCTGGAGCAGAACAACCATCAGTTGTGGAACTGCCGAAAGAACGAGAACCAGCTTAACACCTGCGTGTTTGAAAAACTTGTACGTTTGCCTCGGTCTGTGTTGTCTTCGAACGTGTGTGGCTTGTTTTGCTAATGATTTGGATTTCTTTTATATAGGGTCTGAAGAAAACCATCCCCGATACCCCGGCCGGTCAAGTCCCTGTGCACCTGCGCAAGAAACAGATATATGCCAACTACCAAGGCGAGCAATACTAGAACCCATTTCTTCGTTTTTCTCTCTACTGAAAGTTCGGTTTGAGGACACTTTGTTTCCTTTTGACCATGTGTATGTGTAAATATAAGTTAGAAACGCACGCAGCATGTTCCTTGCATGTTTAGATACTATTTTTTACCCACGTATCGTCTTAAAGCTGCCACTTCATGCTGTCCGGATCCAGTTGAGATAGACAACAGCTAATCTTGATCCACTAATTATCATACAGGAACATCATACAAGAGCCCAAGATGAATGTACAACTCACTTGTCCAAGTATTTTGTCTTTCCTTTCATATTCACAGATGGTTCATAGAGCTACTCATCAATAAGCATAAAAAGGCTACGAAAAAAACATACATAAACAAGAAGGGAAGAAGACATGTGTTCAGACAAGTGGCTTTGGTAAAAGTCCAAAAAGAGACAGAGAGAAAAAGGGGTTGGTCAAGGCGGGTAGCAGCCATGGCCAAAACGAAGCGAATCAATGCCCTCGACGGGGCCGTGTGAAAGAAGCCAGAGAAAAGTAAGTGATGGTTCTTTGTTTTAAAAGAGGGAAAAAGGGGTGAAAGAAGAAGGTTAAAACATCGAACGGAATTTTGTTGTCAAGTCTAGAAGAAAGGAGGAAACGACCGGACAAATGAAGGCCCCTGAGAGGAACGGCCAGAGGCAGAAGCGGTATAAGAAGGAGATGAAGGTAGATCAAGATCCAATCCCATGAAGAACCCCGGCTTGCGGATGGAGGACGATATCCTTGGTAGATGATAGCATTTATGGCAATTGCGCTGATATCCCTTTTCAAGGTATATTTGTACTGGATAGTTACGCCAGCCTCTTTACACAGTAACTATAGGCTGCCCCTTTGGAGGTTTGACGTTTGCAGCATATTGGCCAAGGACGTTTCCTATTCGATATATCGTTAGCATTGTACTCCGTACATGAGGTGGAATTGAATTGAAGGTATACATACCAGGAGGGCTGTAGTTGCAAACAGTGTAATAGGCGTCTCCGCCAGAACCCTGGCCCCCGAGGTTGGAACAATGGGCAGTGTAACAGGCGTAGTGGGTGGTACTAATCCAGACCATCTGGGTGAAATGGCCCCATGCATGGAAGTTGGATGGGTTGTTATTGCCATAGTTGCCCTCAAAGAGGACGACCTCCTCGTTGTACATTTGTTGGGTAAGGAGAGAAGCAACGCTGTTGTATCCGGACTGGTATCCGATGTTTTGGCCGTATCCACCGCCATCAATGCTCCTGTGTTCACAATTCAGTTAGTTACTTGTTCAATGCTTCAAAAAAGGGGACAGATAATTTGCATACGTGTCATGGCCGTAGATACAGGTCTCGGCGAGCTTTCTGGCGCTGTTTTCCAGAGCAGTAGACCAGGTGAGAGCAGGAGCAGAGTGGTTGGAACGGTGAACGTTGTGATGGTAGTCAGTTTGCTCCTTATAGTCCTTCCCTGGCGGTGGTGGTGGAGGTGCAGGGCCCTGAGAAGGCTGCGATGGCGGCGGCGCTGGTGGTGCAGGAGCAGAGGAAGGTGGTGGTGGTGCTGGTGCTGGTGGTGCAGGAGCAGAAGTAGGCGGCGGTGGTGGTGGAGGAGCGTAGGTTGATGTTCCAGGCTCAGGACAGGGAATCGTAGAAGGCTCAACAGGAGGTGGTGGGAGAGGCTCTGCAGACGAGGTCGGCACAGGAGGGATAACGGGGGGCTTGGAAGTCGGCTCTGGCTTGTACGAAGTGGTTGGTATGACCGTCGGGCAAGGGATGGTGGTTGTCACCGTCGTAGTAACAACTACAACCTTCTTTGCGGTAACGACGACTTCATTTGGAGGGCTGATTTGTTCGGCCGCCAGGGAGCCGGCGACGCAGAGCGCCGTGATCAGCACGGAGGACTTCATCTTGTGCGGTGGGATTGCCTTCTTTCTGCTTCTCCTTTCTTCCGGATTTCCTTTTCAATAGCAGTTTCCGAGGTGAATCAAGGTCGAGGCTGGTATATATATATGTGTGTGTATATATAATCCAGGGGGGGTATTTGGTTGGCGGGCGTGAGAGAGAACTGGTTTTGATAGTTTGATAGTTCACAGGTCAACTGCGAAAGAGTTTCGACAACAGACGACAAATATACCCTCTGACCAAGGCAGAGAGATGCTTTATGGGACAAAAAAAGTAATGAGCGAAAGGCTTTCTTAGACACTTTAAAGAATGGAAAGTGGCTAAGAAGCGGTAGTTGGTGGAGAAGAAAAGCAGTCGAGGAGAGCGAGGAGGAGAGCAAGAGAAGAGAGAGAGGAAGACGGCAGGCCAGGCGGCGGCAAGGGGAGTAAATAAAGACTCGCGGCTGGAGCCTCTCCTCTCCCCCCTGGACAGGTACAAGCTACCAACTGAGATTAAGATTGGCCTAGTCAGGGGAGCAAAGGGGACGGGAAGCTGGGGGTGAGGATTCCGTGTCGACAAAAAAGCATCGAGCGGAGACCCGCACTGATAATGTAGCTAGTTATATTAGTTAAATGATAATAATAATATGTGATGTGGGCTAAAGGTGTGTTCTGCCTGATAACGAGATGGAGATGGGGACGGTATAAAGGAATGCAGCCGGACATTATTATTATCATAAGCATCCCGTCCCCATGGCGTGAATATTAATGGAAGCGCGGCCCATCTCGTCGTCTAACCTGCTGCCGATGCAAGGGAAAAAAGCGCGGCCGAATAATAACTGTACAGCGAGAGGGCGAAAACCCAGGCAGGTGGTGAACGGAGTAATTTGCGCTGAAACAGCTCAGGGGCTTCACGCAAGTCTCTCGCAGGCCCTCAATAAGGTTGGAGCATTAATCGGGGGCGTTCAACAACTCTGGTTCTCTCTTCGCTGTGCTGCCAGCTCTTCGTTCTCCCTCGATCCTCTCTCCTTTCTCCCTGTACCACGATGGAAAGGGCCGAGAGGATGGGTGGTTGCAACCCGGATGCTGATCGGCCTCAGAGGGCATCCCAGCGAGCGCCGCTGACGATCGCATATCGTCCAACATCCTTCGTATATGGAGCAACCGGGTAATAAACTACTCCGCCGTGGCAGTTTTAGCGCGCCCAGTGGAGTGTTCGAGCATGCAAGTCTTCATCATCACCAGCATCCATTCAGCCCCCTGGGCCAGCCGGCATGTCCTCATCTCCAGCCTGCCTGCTTATACCTGCCTACACACCTGCACTGACAGCTTGACAGCACACAGCATCCAAAAGCTCAACTCTGGCGCTGTCAAAGAGTGCAAGACAGAACAGACCAAGACGCCAGTTCACTTGGGAATGCATGGCCCCCCCGCCGTCCTTCCTTGGTGCGACAAGGAGCAAGCAGAGCAGCCTTGTATCGTCCTCCCCCAAGTCGCTAGTCGGCCAGCTAACCAGCTAATTCGCTGAACCAGTATTAAAAGGCCGTAAGAGTCTTGATGTTTAGCCCAGAAACCCCAAAAGCAGCCTCTGTCTCTCTCTCTCTC